CGGTACCGGCACCGACACCGACACCGGGAGCGGCGGGCGGTGCTGGAGAGGGGCGGAAGGACGGGGGTGCACGGGCACCGGGGGACGCGCGGGCACCGGCGGTGCGGAGGGACCTCGGGATGCAGGAGGAGCCGTGGACCAGGGAGTGCTCGAGCGCTGGGGGGTGCAGGAGAACCGGGAGATGCACGGGGACCAGAGGGTGCAGCGGGAAGGACCCCGACGGAAGCAGGGGGCACACAGGGATCGGAGTGGCACAGCAGGCCTGGGGTGCAGACGGATGGGGGGAGCAACATCCGGCAGCACAGAGGAAAAGGACTGGGGAGAAGAGGGGGTCTGGGGTGGTACGGACGCTGGTGGCGCACAGAGACAGGCCCCCCAGGGACCGGACCCCAGGAGGGCACAAGGGGGCTTATCCCCAGGCAGCATTAGCCCCAGCCGTGCCACCCTCCATGGCCCTCGGGGCCTCCCCGAGTTGCCTTCGTGCATCGCACCCTCACCCTCCTCACCCTCGCCCCGCGGGGCCCCCCCGGCCGGGCACTGGGCCCTCCCTGACACCCCAGATTTACAGCTTTGATTTCCCAGGGTTTAAGAGACATAAAAGGCGCAGGCTTGGCCCCGCTCGCCGCTGCCCTGCCCAAGAGCCTTATTTATGGCAGCACCCCAAAGCGGGCCCGGGGGGAGGAGGAGGAGGAGGAGGGCTGGGGGCTTCGCTAACCTCCAGCCCTAATGGGGAACACATGGCAGGACCCCGGCGTGGAGAAGGGGGGGGGTCTCTTGGTCCCAGCTCAGGATTGAGGGGGGGCTCCACACCCCGGGTTAGGGGCAGAGGGGTGCGGGTGGCCGGATCCCCTCGGGGGTGGCTGGGGGAGCTCAGCCCAGTGTCCCCCCCCCGGGAGCAGGGAGTGGGGCCTCTCCTCGCCCCGCTGAGCTCCGCCAGCTTATTCATCTTGTTAATCAAACCAGGGCCGGGAGAAAATGTGCTCGGGCCGGGCTGGCGGGGCTGCCAGGTCCCCCCGCTCCCCCCTTCCCCTCCTGGAGCACGGCCAGCCCCTCGGCCTCGTGTCCGGCACCGGTGACTAATGGCCAAGTAAATGGGGTAGATTGGGGGCTGTCACCGTAAATCACGGCACGGCGCGGCCGCAGGTGAAGTTCCCATCGGCCGGGGCGGGGGGGGGGGGGTAGAACCGGAGCCCTGACCCCCGGCCAGGACCGGATCCCAGCGGACGGAGTGCGGGGAGCACCGCGCAGCCCCTGCGCATCGCTCCCACCGCACCTGCCCGCACCGCGCCGGGCGCCGGCCCCGCTCCATCCTCTCCGCCTGGACCGGCAGAGCCCTTTCCCAGGCAGTAACACTCCGGTTGGCAAATATTTGCTGCGCTCCCTCCTCCCCTCTCCAGAAACACTCGATCCCTTCGCGTTTATCACTACTGACCTACATTTTCCTTCCCGGAGCCTTTCATGAAGCTCTCCCCACAGTCCCACCGTGTCCCAGCCCCACAGAGCCCATCCCTCGTGCTCAAGCACCCCCTCGACATCAACCACATTTTTTCCCCCCTTTAGAGATCAGCGAACTCCCGAACTCCGTCCCGGCCCTTTTTGAGCTTCCCAAAGCAAACAGAGGCGGGAAGGTGCGGCCGCCCGCAGCGAGGATGCTCTTGAGCACAAGGGTTGTGCTATGGGAGGTGGCAGGGAAGGGGTTAAGCGGGTTATAAATTACCCATGGATGTGGAAATGTGACTGAGAGGAATATAAAGCAAACTCTGACTGCTGGATTCTTTGCATTTCTAGCCTCTTTATTTTTCCCCCAGGTCACTTTAAAAGGATGCAGGCAGAGGCAGCTCCGCTGCGCCTCTCCTCCTGCCTTTTCTGGGGTTTGGGGGGGGGTTGCTGTTTGTTTTTTACACCCTGGCCCTTGAGCCAGATGCTGTCTCTGTCCAAGGACTTTATGGAGTGAGCTCTGGCTGGGAAATCAAGTAATTAGATTAATTCAGGGTAGATGTGCTGGGCCCAGCCACAGTGACACATGATGGAGGGCTGGCAGGAAGGTGATGTCTGGTGCGAAGCCAGACTGAGGATGCTCAGCCCAGGTCTGGGGGTGTCACCAGGCCCACCCCGGGGGCCTGGATCTGTCTGGGGAGGGTCAAATCCCACCTGGGCATTGGGGGGAGCTCACGGCTGTTTGGGAGCTTGGCCCCACGGCCAGGTCCTGCCCTGCAACAGGGCAAAGGCCCTGGGAATGGAGCCACGCCGGGGGGGGGGGACCACGCCAGCCCCAAGGGACCCCCGCGCTGACGCTGACGGCACGGCCCGAGGGTCAGTGGGGGCCGGATCCTGCCCCAGCCGGTGCCTGCGGGCTGGTGGGCAGGAGGAGCGGCCCGTTAAAGGTCATTGTCAAAGGGCAGCGCTGACCGCATCTGCCGCTGCCCCGGGCGCTGACTCAGAGCCGGAGCGCGGCTCTGTCATCTCCGGCTGCTCCCGGCGCTGCCGTGGGGCCGGCTCCTGACCCCCGCATCTGGGGACCTCAGGCAGGGCAGGGCTGGATGTGTCCCCCCGTCCTGTCCCCCTCCCACAGCTTCGGGTCCTGATGGATGCTGCTGTGAGACGGGGAGGGCGACATCCTCGAGCCACGTCCCAGGTGACACCAGCGGGGACCGATGCTTCCTGCTCTTCCCAGCACCACTGTCCACCCACCTCCCCTCCGACCCTCCAGCACAGCCTCAAGCCACCTCCCGATGTTCCTCTGCTGGAGCTGGCCACGTCCTCTGTGCCAACGCCAGGGCGGGTGTCGCTCCTTGCCCCCTGGGAGCCCACCCCTCCCTGCTTCCCACTTCATCCTTGGCTCCAGGTGGAAGCGGAGGGGCTCGGCGGGGGTCAGGCGGGTGCAGCGGTGAAGGCAGCGCAGGTGGGCAGCCGGGGCTCCGCCATTCCCCCCCCCCCCCCCCCCCGCAGCATCCAGGGCTGGCTCCCGGCCCGGGGTGGCTTCCCGAGGGGCCGCGGGCCGTGGGTCGGGACCGCGGGCGGCCTCGGCCCCCGGGGCTGCCGTGATTCAGCCTCCGGGCTGCGGCCGCTGCCGCCCCTCAGGCTGGGTGGCTCCGGAGCCTGACGTTTTTGGGAAATTTCAACAGAAACGCTTCAGAAGCTTCCAAAAAACAGGACGATGGGAAACAGCCTCCCCCCCCCGTGCTCCGCTTCCTAATCCCTGCCCTCCCAGCAACCCCCGTGTCCCTGCATGGCTGCAGGGCTCAGCACCCCCCGGCGCAATGGGGCAGGGGCTCAGTCGTGGTGTCACCCATTTGGGTCACCCAGGTGTTCCCTGTGCTCTCCACCCTCTGCCCCCTGCACGGAGCGATGTCCCTGTTCTCGCAGCCATGGATTCGAGGCGCAGAGCTAGGGCAGGGAGCTCAGGGACAGGGAAAGCCACTGGACAATGGCCCCGTGGACCAGAGATGCCCTCAGAGTCCCCCACAAACCTCAGCCATGGCTGCGGTCCCACAGCCTCGGGGTTCCCATCCCTGTGCCAGCCTCAGGGTCAGGGCCACCACGTCCCTGCACGTCCCCTCTGTGGTGAGGGGAGCATGACCCAGGCACCCCCCAGCATGGGGTGCTCTCAGGGCCCCCCATCCCTCACCCCACAGCTCAGGGGACCGCAGGGACACCCAGCTGAGGACAGCCCATGCGTGGGGGGACAAGTGGCCTTGCCACCACCAAGACCCAGGGCTCTGCCACTCACCCCGGGGGGGGGCTGCAAAGCTCCGGTTGCCACCGAGTCCCGGGTGGGGGGACGGGGAGAGGCCCCGCGATGGGGAGTGATGCCCGAGGGGACACCTTTGCTGTGGTGCCAGCGGCACAACCAGCACTGGGCTGTTCAAGACCCCTGGGGACAAACCCAGCCCCAAGCCTGGTGCTTTCCCACTTTTTGGTGCTTTTTTTTTTTGGGGGGGGGGGGGGGAGGGGTGTGGAACCAGAGGTGATGCTTCCATGGAAAACACTGGGATTTTCGGGCAGAAATCCCCGTTTTCACCCCAGAATAAGTAAGAGGAGGGCTCTGGTCTCCTGAATGCGCTTTCCATGGGAGAAGCCCCGGGGGTCCGACCCCTGGAGCACGGGAGGGTCCGTGGGGGCCACGCGTGAGTCACCGGCCCCGGGGCGGCTCCTCCTCACCCACCGAGGGGCTCGGGGCAGCGGGACCCGGGGGGGGGGGGCAGCACCGCGGGGCAGCGCCGGGCGGGCGCCGGGGGTGGGCACCGGGGCCGGTACCGGAGCGGGACGGCGGAGCCCCGGGGCCGGTGCCTTTCTGCCCCCCCGGGGGCGGGCCCGTGCCGGGCGGGGCGGGGCCAGGGCGGCAGTTGGGGCTTGGGTAACCGGGGGTTGCTCAGACTTGCTCGGGACTTCCCCGGACGCGCCGGTGCGCTCCGCAGCCCCGGGCACCGACGGGCACCGGAGCCGGCCATGGCGCCGTTACCGCTGCTCCCGGTCCTGCTCCTGCTCTGCCCGCGCCTCCTCCGCGCCGACCCCCTCGCCTGTGAGTACCGGGAGCACCGGGCGGCTCCCGCAAGGTGGGCGCGGGGCGGGCGAGTCCCGGGGGTCCCGTCGGGGCCGGGGCGGGCGCTGCGCGGATCCCCCCACCGGGGCTCCCCCGGTCAGCGCGGGGCCGGCCCGTGCCTTGTGCCCCCCTCCAGACCGCGGGGTGCGGAGGGGCCTCGGGAGCGGGGGGGGCACCGCCGGGCGCACCTCGGGGCTGAGCTTCGCCTCCCGTGGCCGGTAACGGGGACCCCCCCATAGACGGCAGCCGGGACCCCGCGGGACCCCCCTGCAGGCAGCAGGGACCCCCAGCCCTGCCCGGTCCCGCAGCCCAGCAGGGACCCCCCCCCTCCCCGCAGAGAACAATAGAGGAGCCTTTCTTGCTCCCCCCCATCCGTGGCAGCAGCGGGGACC